GTGGAGCTTCAGTTATATCATTGTGGCCTCCATTTTTTTTGACCACAACATTGTTTGCTCGTTCTGAGAGAGTCAGATCTGGTCTTCTGCTACCATCCTGTGATTGACCCACTTTAACACCAGGAAAGAGATTGCTTAAAATCATTCTATTCTTATTCTATTCTATTGTTTTCCAGAGCAGCCTGCCACTTGCTTACGAAGCATGAGCCGCAAACTAACAAGCTTCCCGCTTTGACCTTAATAAGTTAATAGTTATCGACTTTCACATCCCTGGTGGCCTGTACCTCACCGTCAAATGGCTTAATGAAGCAAACAGCTTGTGCTACCAAGAAACATTTCTTGTGGATTCCCTGTTGTCTGCCTACAAGTGCTTTTCCTCTTAATTGTAGAGCTAAATAAACTGAACATTCAATTTCCTTGTAATTAATCTTCCCTGGACTGGGGTGAGCATTTCAAGGTATGGCAGGAGGAATTGGGGGAGTGAGAGATTTGCCCCATAGAGGCAACCCCTTTTGTGGGCAGATGCCATGGCATTTCCTCCTAAAAGCTATTGCAAATAATCTGGGAGGAATGTATCCTATGCTGTTAAGTATTGGATTTTAATTATTAAACTTTTATTAATTGTAATTATCTGCGTGTCTTCCATTGTGTTCACCTTTTTAGATATCTAATGCGTAAATGCTGGATTAGGTGAGAACAATCACCCACCCACCCACATCTGGATTTTGTTATATAAAGTACTATCTCTGTTGGGTAAATTCCCTTTTCTTGCTACCTATCTGTTTTTCAAAAATCAGTTAAATTCAATTAAATGTGGCTTTAAATCCATAAAGGACTCATTTGTTTTGTTGCTACACTCAATCATTTCTGGTTTAGAAGTTCAAAATTTTTGTTTCCTTTTGTCTGTCTTCCTTTCTGTCACTCAGGTAACAGAACTAGGTGGAATGTAAGGAAGATACAGGATGGCCTAGTCATTTTGTTAACAATTAAGAAAAAGAAATGAACTTTTATGGGGAAAAAACTTAACATTTCTCAGTAAATGAGATAGTGTGTATATGGCATGGCTTAACAGGCTAGCTTTGAATTGTTCAATATGGTAACATCAGGTGAGCAAGGAAAAACTCTTGCAGGTAAATGTGTAATGTACACATTAAACAATAAAACTGAGCTACAGGTACAATATGTTAAATAGTAGTAGCTGAAAAGACAGACTGCATAATCGTAGAACTCTGTGATGAGACTAATACACAAATGTCTTTGTTTTCATCTGTGATGTCCTACAGGGTATAGTAATAGATTCTGCATTAATTTATAACACATGAGGGAAACAGCTCATGCCCATCTCTATAATAGATATCATTGTCAGGTTATCCAAAGGTAGTCAGGCTAGATTAGCTGACACAATGCAGAATGTCTGTTTATTCAGTGTTTAACAACTGTAATTAATTGTCATCAATTTAAGAAAGAGCAACAGCTCTGCCATTTCATTCTAGTGGGGAAAAAAGTTTCCACCGATTCTGAATTCATTTATCCAATGTTCTTTGACAGAAGACTACTTTTTTGATCGTAGACTAATAACATTATTCCTTCCTGGCATCATCTGGCAACAAAGGTAAGATGAGGACCTAAAGCAGGGGTGTCATCCTGTTGCCATCACATGACATTTTGCAACATTTCCCCCATTGGTGGAGGTGGAGTGGGCATGGCCTGCATGTGACACATTCAGCCTATGGGCCACCAGTTTGACATTCCTGACCTAAAGTATAAAGGAGAACCAAACAACAACAGAAAGAGCTAATAAGAATCCCGATTCAAGGTTTTAAAAAGTATGAGAGATATACAAATAAAAACATTCTATTTATTATCACTAGTGAAAGAAATTAACAGGACAAGAGGCCATTATACCAAGGAATTGCAGGATCTGCTGTATGATATTATTTTACCATTTCTTCTAGAGTTAATATCTAAATTTATAAGTCTTGGAAAAGTTACTATCAGACTTCTGGGGTTCCCTTAAACCCACTTTTATTGTTTATCCTGCCAGGGGCCAGCAAAACTATGGCTGATAAGACTGTGATAACACTGCAGTGGATGGGGCCAAAACAGCAAACCTAAATTTTGCTGACAGTGCCCATGGGTCTGAATATTTTGATTCCAGCCACTTCAAAGATCTGCAAATGAGCAGCTGGATACAAAAAAGCTCAACGTCCAAGATTATAAATGGTAGTGTTCCAGAAAATATAAACAAAATAAAAAAGAAATGAAAATGTGAATGTTCAAAATACATGATCAGACAAAAAAACAAACAAACCAGGAATGCTACTTAATCTTGAAAAACATGACACTCCAGTAAAAGTTACAGAGTATGTGTTTCATATTCTTTGGATTCTGGCCACATGGAAACCTCTGAAGCTAACTGTGTCCCACTTTCATGTATTTTGCTTGTATTTTTTTACTTTGCATAATGTTGCTCATCTTGAAAGGGAATAATATTAAGTAAGTATACACGTTTATGTAGGCATACAAAGTTGTAATTACAGTAATGACTGGTACTCACTGCAAATTTTAATGTGAAATATTCTTGAACAACTTTTCAAGCTGTAAGTTATCCCAGTTTGTCATCCTCCCCAATGCTTACCACTTCATGTCTCTGTGCTGACTTATGGCACGCTGGTTTGCTCCAGTTTTTCTCTCCTTTTTAAGAAGACATTAGACAACCACTTGTCTGAAATGGTAGAGGGTCTCCTGCTTGAGTAGGGGGTTGGACTAGAAGACCTACAAGGTCCCTTCTAACTGTCATTTCTTTAAAATAATCCTATAAATATTGGGCTTCTTCCAAGCCCACTGAGGCCTATTTGTGTTTGGACTGAGCTGTTTTGGCTACAGAGAGATCCATGTTTTGACACTATTAAAATATAGAATTAATAATGGGTACCAATATGAAATTGTGGGCATTTACAATACATAAAAGCACTATTTTATTTTTTTCCAGCAGAAAGTTCAGCATGAATCTGTTTTTTTTTTGTTTTTTTTTGTTTTTAAATATATTTTATTCATTTTCACATTCCATTTTGCAATCACTTATATACAGGGTATTTGCTATAAGAAAAAAAAGATAAAAAAAAGTAAAACAAAATAA